CTCTTATTATTTTGAGATATGTTCCATCAATACCTAGTTTATTGAGAGTTTTTAGCATGAAGGAATGTTGAATTTTATCGAAGGCCTTTTCTGCATCTTTTGAGATAATCATGTGGTTTTTGTCATTGGTTCTGTTTATGGGATGGATTATGTTTATTTATTTGCATATGTTGAACCAGGCTTGCATCCCAGGAATGAAGCTGACTTGATCGTGGTGGATAAGCTTCTTGATGTGCTGCTGGATTTGATTTGCCAGTATTTTACTGAGGCTTTTCTATTGATGTTCATCAAGGATATTGGCTTGAAATTTTTCTGTGTGTGTGTCTCTGCCAGGTTTTGGTATCAGGATGATGCTGGCCTCATAAAATGAGTTAGGGAGGAGTCCCTCTTTTTCTATTGTTTGGGATAATTTCAGAAGGAATGGTACAGCTCCTCTTTGTACCTCTGGTAGAAGTTGGCTGTAAATCTGTCTGGTTCTGGGCTTTTTTTTTGGTTGGTAGGCTATTAATTACTGCCTCAATTATAGAACTTGCTATTGGTCTATTCAGGGATTCAACCTCTTCCTGGTTTAATCCTGGGAAGATGTATTTGTCCAGGAATTTATCCATTTCTTCTAGATTTTCTAGTTTATTTGTATAGAAGTTTTTATACTACTCTCTCATGGTAGTTTGTATTTCTGTGGGATCAATGATGATATTCCCTTTATCATTTTTTATTGTGTCTATTTGATGCTTCTCTCTTTTCTTCTGTATTGGTCTGGCTAGCAGTCTATTTGTTGATCTTTTTAAAAAAATCCAGCTTCTGGATTCATTGATTCTTTTGAAGGGTTTTTTGTGTCTCTATCTCCTTCAGTTCTGCTCTGATCTTAGTTATTTCTTGTCTTCTGCTAGATTTTGAATTTGCTCTTGCTTCTCTAGTTCTTTTAATTGTGATGGTAGGGTGTCAACTTTAGATCTTTACTGTTTTCTCCTGTGGGCATTTAGTGCTATAAATTTCCCTCTAAACACTGCTTTGGCTATGTCCCTGAGATTCTGATTCTGGTATGTTGTGTCTTTGTTCTCATTGGTTTCAAAGAACTTCTTTATTTCTGCTTTAATTTTGTTATTTACCCAGTAGTCATTTAGGAGCAGGTTGTTGAGTTTCCATGTAGCTGTGCAATTTTAAGTGAGTTTCTTAATCCTGAGTTCTAATTTGATTGCACTGTGGTCTGAGAGACTGTTATGATTTCTGTTCTTTTGCATTTGCTGAGGAGTGTTTTACTTTCTATTATGTGGTCGATTTTAGAATAAGTGCTATGTGGTGCTGAGAAGAATGTATACTCTGTTGATATGGGGTGGAGAGTTCTGTAGATGTCTATTAGGTCCGTTTGGTCCAGAGCTGAGTTCAAGTTGGGAATAAAGTTGTTAGTTTTCTGTCTTGCTGATCTGTCTAATATTGACAGTGGGGTGTTAAAATCTCTCACTATTATTGTGTGGGAGCCTAATTCTCCTAGTATATCTCTAAGAACTTGCTTTATGTATCTGGGTGCTCCTGTATTGGGTGCACATATATTTAGAATTAGCTCTTCTTGTTGCATTGATCCCTTTATATTATGTAATGCCCTTCTTTGTCTTTTTTGATCTTTGTTAAAGTCTGTTTTACTAGAGACAAGGATTGCAACTCCTGCTTTTTTTTTTTTTTTTTTTGCATTCCATTTGCTTAGTAAATATTCCTCCATCCCTTTATTTTGAGCCTATGTGTGTCTTTGCATGTGACATGGGTCTCCTGAATACAGCACCCTGATGGGTCTTGACTTTTTATGCAATTTGCCAGTCTGTGTCTTTTAATTGGGGCATTTAGCCCATTTACATTTAAGGTTAATATTGTTATGTGTGAATTTGATACTGTCATTATGATGCTAGCTTGTTATTTTGCCTATAGGTTGATGAAGTTTCTTCATAGTGTCGATGGTCTTTACATTTTGGTTTGTTTTTGTGGTGGCTGGTCCTAGTTTTTCCTTTCCATATTTAGTGCTTCATTCAGGAACTCTTGCAAGGCAGGCCTGGTGGTGACAAAATCTTTCAGCATTTGCTTGTCTGTAAAGGATTTTATTTCTCCTTCACTTATGAATCTTAGTTTGGCTAGATATGAAATTCTGAGTTGAAAATTCTTTTCTTTAAGAATATTGAATATTGGCTGCCACTTTCTTCTGGCTTGTTAGGGTTTCTGCAGAGAGAGCTGCTGTTAGTCTGATGGGCCTTCGTGTTTAACCCAACCTTTCTCTCTGGCTGCCCTTAACTTTTTTTCTTTCATTTCAACCTTGGCGAATCTGACAATGATGTGTCTTGGGGTTGCTCTTCGTGAGTAGTATCTTTGTGGTGTTCTCTGTATTTCCTGAATTTGAATGTTGACCTGTCTTGCTAGGTTGGAGACGTTCTCCTGGATAATATCCTGAAGTATATTTTCCAGCTTGGTTCCATTCTTCCTGTCACTTTCAGGTACACCATTCCTTTTCATTCTTTTCTCTCTAATCTTGTCTTCATGCTTTATTTCATGAAGTTGATCTTCAATCTGATATCCTTTCTTCCGCTTGATTAATGTGGCTATTGATACTTGTATATGCACCACGAAGTTCTCATGCTGTGTTTTTCAGCCCCATCAGGTCATTTATGTTATTCTCCAGACTGGTTAGTCTAGTTAGCAATCCCTGTAAACCTTTTTCAAGGTTCTTAGCTTCCTTGCATTGGGAAGCACATAGATGAATGGAACAGAATAGAGACCTCAGAAATAAGACCACACATCTACAACCATCTGATCTTTGACAAACCCGACAAAAACAAGCAATGGAGAAAGAATTCCCTATTTAATACATGGTGTTGGGAAAACTGGTTAGCCATATGCAGAAATCTGAAACCGGACCCCTTCCTTACACTTTATACAAAAATTAACTCAAGATGGATTAAAGGCTTAAACAGAAGACCTAAGACCATAAAGGCCCTAGAAGAAAGCCTAGGTAATATCATTTGTGACATAGGCATGGGCAAAGACTTCATGACTAAAACACCAAAAGCATCAGCAACAAAAGCCAAAATAAACAAATGGAATTTAAACTAAAGAGCTTCTGCACAGCAAAAGAAACTATCTTAAGAGTGAACAGGCTACCTACAAAATAGGAGAAAATTTTTGCAGTCTATCCATCTGACAAAGGGCTAATATCCAGAATCTACAAAGAATTTAAACAAATTTACAAGAAAAAAAACAATCATCAAGATGTGGGCAAAGAGTATGAACAGACACTTCTCAAAAGAAGACATTTATGCGGTCAAGAAATACATGAAAAACTCATCATGACTGGTCAGTAGAGAAATGCAAATCAAAACCACAATGAGGTACTATCTCATGCCAGTTAGAATGGCCTTCGTGAAAAAGTCAGGAAACAACAGATGCTGGAGAGGATGTGGAGAAATAGAAATGCTTTTACACTTGGTGGGAGTGTAAATTAGTTCACCCATTGAGGAAGACAGTGTGGTGATTCCTCAAGGATTTGGAACTAGAAATACCATTTGATCCAGCAATCCCATTACTGGGTATATACCCAAAGGATTATAAATCATTTATAAAGACACATGCACACATGTGTTTATTGCGGCACTGTTCACAATAGCAAAGACTTGGAACCAACTCAAATGCCCATCGATGTTAGACTGGATAAAAAAATTGCAGCACATATACACCATGGAATACTATGCAGCCATAAAGAAGGATGAATTCATTCTTTTGAGGGACATAGATGAAGCTGGAAACCATCATTTTCAGCAAGCTAACATAGCAACACCAAACACCGCATGTTCTCACTCATAAATGGAAGTTGACCGATGAGAACGTATGGACACAGGGAGGGGAACCTCACACACTGGAACCTGTCAGTGGCTGAGGGCATTGGGGAGGGATAGCATCGGGAGGAATACCTAATGTAGATGATGGGTTCATAGGTGCAGCAAACCACTATGGCACATGTATACTTATGTAGTAAACCTGCACGTTCTACACATGTATCCCAGAACTTAAAGTATAATTTAAAAAAAGAATTTAAGTGATCTTTTTCCAAACCTTCTCTTATTTCTGCTTGTTTCACCTACTTCTATAATTCATTGACTACTTTTTGTTCATTGTTTTACATTTAAAGTATAAATACTTCTTTCTTTAGTCATCTGTTATAAGCTATCCTAATCTAACAATTTTCTCCATTTTTCAATTTTTGCTAATACATTTGGGAAGTATTCTAATACTCATTTCAGATTTTTATCTATCTAGATAAAACCTCAGTGTCTGAAGGCCTACATTCTCCAAATGTGGCATTTGATACATTTTAGTATATGTCATGTCTTTTTGAGACAGTCTTGCTCTGCTGCTCAAGCTGATGTGCAGTGGCACACTCGTAGCTCACTGCAGCCTCCACCTCCTGGGCTTAAGCAATACACTTGCCTCTGTCTCCCAAACAGCTGGGACCACAGGTGTGTGCCACCATGCCTGGCTAATTTTTAAAATTTTTTGTAGAGACAGGGTCTCACTAGTTATCCAGGATGGTCTCAGATTCCTGAGCTCAAGAGATCTGCTCACCTTGGCCTCTCAAAGTGCTGGGATTACAGGCCTAAACCACCACATCCAGCCCATGTCTGTAATAAGTTGATTTATAAACAAAGCAGTTTAGTGGGGCAATGAAGACCCCAACCTTCACATCAGCCTGCCTGGGTAACAGAGAGCTTGTTAGCTGTAATTCTGGACAAGTAACCAATCTTTCTGTACCTCATTTCCCCCATACATAAACTAGGGAAAATAATTCTACAAATCTCATTTGGTTATTAATAAGAATTAATTGAATTAACATGTCTAGAAGGCTTGTAATAGCACCTAGAACATAGTGCCATGTAATTATTGGCTATTAGCATTTCCAAGGTTAAAATAGAAAAAGTATCTTAGAATAAAGAGTGGAGAAGTTTTAAATACTTTTTCTTTCACAGGTCCAGACTATGTAAAGGATTACTTGCCTAAAGTTCATCAACACACTTCCTATGTAGGAGAACAGCATCCAGCATTAGAAAAAACTGGAGATCTCAGATATTTATGGAGGCCTGCCATGAATAGAAGCTTCCCAGCAAAATATAAACATGAGTACGTTGGTGAAATTGGTTGGGGAGTAACACAGTATAATTTTATCAACAAATCAAGACTGGAGAGTGGCTTTCATATCAAGGTATTGCTCTTAAATTTATGCTCTTCATAGTACACTGTTTTCTAAGTTGAATTCTTTATGAATTTGCTTCCAAAGGAAATGTTGGGCACTTGATTTCTCATTGAGACATAGAGGTTTGAATTTTGTAGGAAGACAAATGTGTGAATAAATGCATGGCTCCGCAACACTCCTGGAGCCCCTTTAATACACCAAGGGAAGGGTATGAAGAATATGAAGCCATGGATAGTCCAAAAGCATTTGTGTTTGGCTGTGGAATGTGTTCTGATTCACATTCAGGCTGAGGCACTTGCACACACTTCCCCCATCCTGGCACTGCTTCATGCGTGGGCGGTAAAAAGAAAGCAGCCGGTGCTGGGCATAATCTACAAACCTCACACAGGCATCTCAGATCTTTAAGATTCACTGTATGGATAATGCCTTCATTGCAAGTGTTAATAATTCAGTGTATGTTGTCAGAGGGTTTTAGAAACCTTGTCTTATTTCCCTTTGGTGATATAGACATAGGCATGAGGTCACGGTGTCTCCTCTGAAACAGAAGAGTACACAAGTGATTTCAGAAGTAAAATCTGAGAATTTGGATATTTTTTTCCAGGAAGGCCTTTGCGTTGTCTGAAAATTGCATGTATCAATCATGCAATAACTGAATTTCCTCAAATTCTTAAGGCAAACCAAGACAGTCTCATCTGGTAAACGTTAACAAAAGGAAAACCTTTTTTTTTTCCTTTTTTGAGACACAGTCTCACTCTGTCGCCCAGGCTGGAGTGCAGTGGTGCGATCTTGGCTCACTGTAACCTCCACCTCCTGTCAAGAGATTCTCCTGCCTCAGCCTCCCGAGTAGCTGGGACTACAGGCATGTGCCTCCATGCCCAGCTGATTTTTGTATTTTTAGTAGAAATGGGGTTTTACCATGTTGGTCAGTCTGGTCTCGAACTTCTGATCTCAGGTGATCTACCTGCTTCAGCCTCCCAAAGTGCTGGGATTACAGGTGTGAGCCACCACACCCAGCCAGAAAACCCTTTTTCTGGCTCAAACCATGGCAGTCCAGGAGGGTGGATGGGAGTGCAGTCTTTGGGGTTACACCCTGACTTAGGTCTAGCTCTGTGACCTCGGGCAAATGAGTTCACCTTTCTGCATCTTTGTTTGTTCCTTTTCTACAAGTCAGTATTCAGAGGCTCATTTCACAGGATCACCTGACTTTCTATCCTAGTTCTGCCACCTATTAGTGTGTATGGTCTTGGTTAAGTTTATTTACCTCTGTGCTTCAGTGTCTTCGTTATAAAATCTTAGTTCTAGGTTAACGGGCCGTTGTAAACAGTACACAAGTTAATACTTGTAAAGCGCCGGAAGCAGTAACTAGCATGTGTCAAGCCCTATATGTGTTTCATTGTTATGTTGTGAGGACTAAATGTGAGAACACAAGGAATGCAGTGGGCGCGATCCTGACACCAGGCTGACATCCAGATTTTAGCTATTAGTACTGTTGTGGTTGTATTTCATGTATTTCATTAAATTTAATATTATATTTAGTGTATTGTAATATGTTAAAATGCCAGGGCCAAGAAAGTGCGCCGATGATAAGGAATGTCTCTTACAACATATTCCAAAGAAGACCAGTTTCTGAGCATGTGACAAGCTGAGTGTAATGAATGTTTAGATTCTTAAACTGTGTCCTTTTCCACTTGGGCAATAAAAAGGGAAATCTGAAATTTGATTAAATATCAAACTAGCCACCAGCAAGAAGAGTCCAGCCCCAAAGCAAGGCAGCTGGTTTGAATAAAGTCCAGAACTTGTGTTGTCTTGGTGTTTCTCCTTGAGTGATGATGCCCTGCTCTCGGACACAGCCCTCAATCTGTCAGACCATCTTGAGTGTGTATAGCCTCTCTTCCTTCTTTAACTTAAGGACCCATTTTTCTGCTCAAATGAAGTGCAATTGAACATTCTTTGGTCTTTAAAGCAAGCTGGGAATCCGAAAGAGACGATAGCTGCGAGTTAGCCTTCCAGGAATGTATTTATTCCGGATCTTCAGTTAGTCTTTCCTGGACTGCTTTTAATCATTGCACTGCTGGGTAATGGGGTCCTCTCTGTCTCTGTGAGATTGTGAGCCATGCAGTGATTTTCTTCCCCAGCTGCGGCACCCTCAGAAACTGCTTGGTTGCTTATCATCTGTGCATTTTCTTGGCCCTGGTATTTTAACAGTAATTGTTTTCAAGGGTCTATCTGTCACAGATAACAATCTTGAACAATACCTTAAAGCTCCTTGGACTTAGAGGTTTGTAATAGGGAAAACGAGATTCACTGAGAATGACCATACTTACTAGCATTGAAGTGTCTATAATTTCCTTATCAGTTAAGATCTAGGTTTTGTCACTAGGGCTACTAATCTCTCCCTTTGCATCGAAGGCATACCTTTCTGTTTCCATCCAAGGCAGATCAAAATATCTTCTTTTTTTTTTTTGAGACAGTGTCTCACGCTGTCAGCCAGGCTGGAGTACAGTGGCACACTCAGAGCTCACTGCCGCCTCCATCTCCTGGGCTCAAACAGTCCTCCTACCTCAGCCTTCTGAGTAGCTGAGACTAGAGGCATATGCCACCACACCCAGATAACTAAAAAAAAATTTTTTTTTAGTAGAGACAACATCTATGTTGTTGCCCAGACTGGTCTCAAACTCCTGAGCTTAAGTGATGCTCCTGCCTCAGCCTCCCAGTGTGCTGGGATTACAGGCGTGAGCCACCATGCCCAGCCCACAGTATCGTTTTTTGCATCTAGACTCAGACTTTGATTCCTTATCAACCCTGTGCTTCAGGCAGCTACTTCTAAAAAATCAGACTTGGTGCATTAATTGACACTGAGCTGATATATACACATATACTCCATACATACAAACATGTTCCTAATTACAAAGAATACACAAGAGTGGTGGCATTAACCCAGGGCCCGCCTCACAAGGGAGCTGATAAACTTGTCAGTGTGGTGTCACTGTGAGAAATGTCTCAATCCACTTCCTGTTCTTTTCCAGTTTCTTACCTGTCTGTACATCCTTTCCATATCCCTTGCTCTTCCTTGTCCCATAATAATCCAAATCAAAATGATCACTTCTTGTTTTAGTCTAACTACAGAGACTCCTCAGTGTCTCTTGTGGCAATTACTCAGAGCTTAGATTTTAAGCAAAGTTTCATCTCCTGGATTTTTATAGCTCTAACAGCTGCTCTGCCTAATTTACTGCTCCAGGTTTATGTAAGACTGGCGGCTAAGGACACTCAGGCACCTCCAATCGAGTCTTGGTAAAATGCCTGGAGCAGCTGCCTCCTACCCGGGAATGGTCTCTCTTATTTGGGGCACTAGGAGGGGTTCTGCAGATCATCTGGCTTTTTGCAGGAAGATAATAACTTCCATGCTGAGTGACACCTGAAAAACTTCCCCCATGTTACGGAGGTCAGTAAAAATCACAAGATAGAATTTCTTTTCTGGATTTTTTTTTAATGTTTAGCTATTTCCTACTCTTACATGGCTTACAATGCAATAATAATAAATGTATCTATAAGACCATTACTTTTATTATCTCAGATTTAAGAGCAGCACATTCTTTTAAAAAAATGGATTTGGTCTCTGCCAAACTATGTGCAAGAATATATGGAGACAACTGAAACAATTTCTTTGGTTTCAATCCCATGCTAAACTGAGGAACTTTCCTAACTGCTTCCTAGATGGTCATGTCCCCTCTTAGCTGGTGGCATCACTGCCTTTCTTTAACCCAAACCACAACAGAGTCTGCTGGGTTCCTAGTGTCCATTTTCTACTCCTGTTCTCTGACTTCGTGACAAAATAATTTATTTCGTTTTCTCACAGAAACAATGTTATACTGGACAAGATGACTAACTTTTCATTGGTGTGATCCCAAAGACAATATTAAATGAATTAATCATAATATAACCAATATATTATATATCTTTTACAAACTCTATGAGGTAATAGAATCGTGGGAACCCATCAATATATTTATAGTAATATGATATAATAAAAACCAAAATTTTCAAGGCCTTGATATCTCTTCCTCGTTTTTAACTGTTAAAAGTTCCACTCTCATGAAATAGAACATCTTGGTGACCATTTTATGGACATTTGAGCAGACTTCTGATGAAATGTCGAATTTCTTGATGGCTAAGGAATGAACTCATCCAAGGTTGGTTTATTAGGCATTTTGCTCAGTGAATTTATTTTAAAAAGGTAAACATAAAAAGAGCTATACTTGATTGTTGATTAAGAATGGTACTGTGATGATTTACAGCTGAGGAAACTGAGGTATAAACAGGTGAGGTTCCTTGCCTGAGGTCACACAGCTAGTAAATGGGAGAGCCAGAATTTCAACCCAGGCCATGTGAAATAAGGACTCGGAGGAATACAGGATGTATGAAATGCAATGATAGGCAATGAGTTAGAACATTAGGTTGGAACCACTTTATAAAGTACACAGCTGTGTTATTTTTCTATAATGCTGTGGTCAAACCTACTTGGCTTTCTCTTACAAGGTATGCATCCCTTTCTTCATGGTTCCCTCAGTTGTCTCCTAGCATCTGACTGGCATCATTTGCACACAATATACTTCATTTATAATATCAATAAATAGTAGAGGCTGGGCATGGTGACTAATGCCTGTAATCCCAGCAGTTTGGGAGGCTGAGGCAGACGGATCATTTGAGGTCAGGAGTTTGAGATCAGCCTAGCCAATAAGTGAAACCCTGTCTCTACTAAAATACAAAAATAAGCTGGGGGTGGTGGCACATGCCTGTAACTCAGCTACTCGGGAGGCTGAGGCAGGAGAATTGCTTAAACTCAGGAAGAGGAAGTTGCAGTGAGCCAAGATCGTGCCACTGCACTCCAGCCTGGGTGACAGACGATAGTCTGTCTTAAAAATAAATAAATAATAAATAGTAGAGATGATACCACCCAAATATTTGACATAATGAGAAATAGCTTGATAATAGTTATTTTTTAATTTGTA